GAATACCATCCAGGACTGAAACCTCATACTCAATCTTACTGAGTTTTTGCCACCAACATATCCTCTGCCTTGAGTATGAAATCTGCTTTGTACCAAAGGACCTATTCAAAAGTGTTTTAGGTGTCCTTGACTTATTCATCAAACATTTATTAAGTGCATGCTGTGCAGTAGGTGCCAAGAACACAGAGATGGTCAAGCACAGTCACTGCTCACAAGTGTAATCTAGGGGCAAAGATGCAGCAAAGCACTAGAGGGGCTGGCTGTGATGAGTCTGTACTCATCACCGAGTTGGGGATCAGAAAAAGAATCATAAAGACATGAACTGAATCTTGGGGGAATAAGTTGAGTCTGCACCAGAAACAAAGGGAGAAAGGAATTTTAGCAATGGTACAAGCAAATGAGAAGAAATGGATATTGACAGCTTAATGTGTATGGGATGCATTTTATTATGGCTGGAGTACGGAGGTAGTAAATGAGCTGAGATGTGGTCAGGGGCCAGATCATGAAGGGACCGTGGAGTTGGGGGAGTAGCATGTTAGAGGGACACTTTACTCTAGAAGCTACTAAGCACGGTGGATTAAAGCAATGGTTCTTACCATCCTTTTGTGTCATAGATTCCTTTAAGAACCTGAAAAAAGGTATGGGCCCTTTCACTGGAAAAAGGTATATACACTTAGACACAAAATGTTGCTTAAAATTGCCTAGTTAAGGAGTAAGATGGGAAACAACTGCAACAGTCCAGTAAGACATGATGAGGCCTCCAGTAAGCCACAGGAGCCAGGACAGAAAAGAGGAAACAGATGTGAGAAATAGAAAAATGGTTGAGTATTATCAACAGATGTTTTCATCAATTGGATTTCAGAAGTGAGGGACAAGTCTAAGACAGTTCACTCCCAGGTCAGTTTGTGGTTTAGGCAATTGAGTAGAAAGTAGTGTCACTGATGGAGAGGCACAGGCTTCCGCCGCAGAAAGATGGGTTCAGTTTGGGAAACGTCAAGACAAAGGTGCCTTTAGGACATCCAAATAAAGAAGTTAACCAGGAGGCTAAATAGGCTCTACCTTTTGATGATTCTTGTACTTGGTCTCTTGCCCTGATATTATACAGATAGACTCCTAAATCTCTGTGCAACACTTCTGAATTGAGACAAGTATATCCCCCATTTGCAGAAAGGGATCCAGAGATGGGAAAAGAAATCAAACTTCACACACCCAAAATTATTTCACAATTTTTTACTAAAAGAATAGATTTTTATTAAGCGTTGTAAGTTTCTTTCCATCCGCATTAACAGAACAACAGACCAATTTCCATCACAGAACAACTCCTGAGGCATTCTCATTCCTTTCTGAAACTCTTCCATTAACTCCTGCAGTTTCCCTAAAGAAGCATCCATTCAAACTTACATTAATAAACTATGGAGCTTTTGTGGTGAGGTGGGCCAAAAAGGCAGGGAATTTGGAATCTGGGAATGGGAAAGAGAAATACATATTATCCATCCACTAAACACACTGTCAAGAGCACAGGAGAGGAGATAGTAATACAGGAAAAAAACAATGAAATAATTTTTTACTTTTGTCAATAACATCATTTATCAGGGAGCACTAAAAGTCACTGACTCCTTGCAGTTAAAGTTTCTTTACCTAGTGTGTTATTCTAAAAACAGAACAGAACAGATTAAGAATAGAATAGAATAGAATAGAATAGAATAGAATAGGATAGAATAGAATAGAATAGAATAGAATAGAAGGTAGGAGGGGAAGTGCCTTCTGGGAAGCAATTAAAATGAAGTCATCAGATTTGGCCGGGTTATGAGAGATTAATAAAATCTGAAATATTTATTTTGCTTCATTTACATGAAAATTCACTAGTCATTAGTTACTACCAACACGGACAAAAAGAGCATCTATAAAAGTACAGGGGCAATGTCAAAAGCTGAAATGGGCACCCTAGCACAGGGGATTTTTTTATTTTGCTTTTAACTTGGAAAAGATGATTTTGTAAAAAAATGACTTTATATTCTTAGAACATCAAAATAACCTCTGACAATATTCAAGATAATTAGCAGTAACAGGGGAATAGGTGCATTGAGCTCTCTACCTGCACCAGCAGACTACTGCAATAAGCCAAGGGAAAAGAAAATAGAAAGTCGAATAAGATGCCAAAGTCACAGGATGGAAAAAATATAAGATGACACGCAATGAACAGTGAAAACTCAACCCCCTACCCCAAACCCCAAGCATATTTAGGAAATATGCATCAGGAAGTGAACAAGTATAATGATTAAACCTTAGTAGAATTATACTAACTACTTTAAACTGTGGTCTACTTGTACTGACTTTTCAAAGGTGGGTGGGTCGTAGAGGCTGTAATGGTAACACTGACATGCCCACAGGAGCCTTGTAAGGTTCCAAAGGACTGGATCACCATAACCAAACAGCTACCCCCACATTCCTTCTACCCTACATAAGCACTCCTGCCCCCCACCCTCCATCTCAACCACCCTCCGTAATGCCTTGTTCGACTGTTTTTCTCAGTGATCAAAAAAAGTTAATGTGACTTGGCCAACAATGTCAGAAATCAAGATGGAGACAAATATCAAATGTCACTAGCCAAAGCGAGTACCAATTCTTGGGCTTTAAAGTCTACCCAAAGTCCTACTGGCTCAGAATGAAAATGATGCAAGTGAGCAGAAGTTTGTCAGGCCTGGTCCAGACCACACTGGACTGGTCACTGACTAAGAGTAGGAGTTATAAGCTGATCCCAAGACACACCAGCAGAAATAAAAAACTGCAAGTCCTTGGGGATCAGTGACTATACACAACCAGAGTGTTTTGCTTATGGTCCTACAATGTAAAGGGGTCTTTTCTGGGGGTTCCCAAATGACTTTGTTCAAGAGAGGTCACATCACAGCTAGAAACGGAACCTCAAGTGAAGGATGACAGTCTCTTCAAGTGGTGCAGCAAAGATCAGACCCCACCTTCCACAATTTGTCCTCCAATTAGAAAACGTTCATCTCCCAGGAATGAACCTTAGCTTTCCTGGCTTCTAAGTTGTGTATTTTGTCAGATAAATAAAAATCTAGGAATATGGCCATTTATGGTTCTTTCTTGTAACCTTCCGAACCCAAAATACTGAATCCAAATAAAAATCAAGGTTGGAGATGACCCACTTGTTTCACCCTAGGCTAGGGGAAAAAGGTTGTGGAAGGAAGAAAAGCCTTTTGGCAAACTGGAATCATCCCTGCCAAAGCAGCAATTTTACCTCTCACAGTGAATGCCTACAAAGTAAGAAATTTTCTTAATGGTGTGAGAGTTAACAATACTGTCATCTGATTGTGTCAGATAGATTCAAGATGCACAGAAACAGCAACTGCAAACAGTATCTTAGCAATTTTAAGTTCAAGTGCTTCCTATTAGAAAATGGAGATATAGGTTATCTCACAGCTCAGTGATGCTGGTTGCTTTTAGAGCTCCAAAGGATTCATCCCTCGGTGGCTCCAGAAAGAAAATTCCAAGCCATGTAAATTTACTACTATCCCTTCCTTTGCTGGATGTAGAAGTCCTACCTTCAAGATGTTGTGAAAGGTTGGGCAGGTCCAAGAGAAGAAGGGGTACCACATTAGGGGAGCTGATTCCAAAGAGAAGGTTTTTGTATACTTTGTTTCTACTTCTGTCTGGTTCAAAGTACACTCTTGTCATCTTTCTTTGATTTATGTAAGAAGTATCTGGGCAGGGGTCAAGGCATTCCAGGGCTCCCTCCCCGTGAAAATCATGGCTTCTCTTAATCTGGGACAGACTAGAACTAAATAGTCTGACGCTGTTTTCAATTTCCTATGATCTGGTCAGTGTAAGTGGGCAGTAAGCAAATAGCCTTCTGGTTGTCTGGGCAAAAATCACCAAGGACCTGCTGTGGGTTAAGGTGCATGGGGTTTTTCAAAAAGAACCCTGCTAGAAGATTAGTCAGTTGTATTTCTGTAGAAATGGTACTTCTTGGGCAAGAATATCACAAAGCCCAAAAGGAGGTATATGAGGCTGGAAGCCTCAATTCCTGAATGAAGACATAATGCTAATTTATTGCAAGCCATGTTTCCCTCCCTCATACTTAGGCTGTCCAAGGAGGGAAACTGGAAATGCAAGGTTGTCTCAAGATTATCTCCAGCAAGGAGGAATAGCCTCTTTATCCTGGGCAAATCCTGGTCACACAGGAGGCTGAGAATCTTTTAATAGAATTCTTCTCAAGGCCCAGGCCAGAGTCCTCTAAAGTCTTCCTTGCAAAGCAAATGAAAAGATCCAGTAGTCAGAATGTCAATGAACAAATGAAACAATCTAGGCGTGTAAAATCAAATAGTTTCCTCACACTTCCCTACCCTATCTTTCCAAAGCTAGTCCTCTCTCCTTCAGGGATTCATGTCAATCAATTCTAGCCTGAAACCAATTTGACCCTGGAGTTCCAGAAGAGATTTCCTCCAAATTGGCTGAAAGCCCTTTCAAATGGTAGTCACCTCCCATCCCCCCTTTTCTCTCCAAACCTTCATAAGGAAATGCCCAACTCTGCCCAATCCCATTCCAACCTCCTGTTTTCACCATATGGGATGTGAGGGCTCTGTTCAAGATAAAGCTTGTAACAACCCAAGAGTTTGTTGTTCTGAACAGGCAATTTCTGGAAAGTACTTTTTGTCTGATTTAGAGAAGCCCATCCAACTTCTCATAATTGTGATGGGCTGTGACTTAGTAAGAATTTCAGATTTAAAGTGTGGTCTTTTGAAACCTTCCACTCCATAGCAGTGGAAGCATTTCTGGGAGATTGAGTAAATCCTCTGGGATATCACCGTGTATGTATGTGTATATATATACACACATATATACACACATACACACACATATATATAAAATATGTATAGATAAATAGATCTGTCTCTTTATATAAAGGGTATGTGTATGCATATACACACATTCATATATACACCCACCCACACATTCACACACACACATGCACACGCGCGCGCACACACACACACACACACACACACACACAGTCTTTTGAGTCCCTTTCGTACTCAAGTTCATTACACTGATTCCCACCCTTTCATGGTGTGGGCAGTAGGGAGTGAATGAACTGTGCCACATCTTCTATTTTACAAACAATGCACTGGTTGAGAGGCAGGAAAAATCTGCCCAGTACTTTTCTGATTCACTTGAATCCTCCAGTACAAAGGCCATTGATAATTTTTTTGAAGTGTATAAAAAAAATAATACTACCTTACTTTTCTGAAAACATCTACCTATCTGATTGTCAGGCCAAAGCTAGAGGTGGTGGTACAAAATCCAGGGGTAGGTAAGTTGGAAGAAGGAGTGAAGAAGAGGTGGATACCACTTCATAGAAAAAAAAAAACAAAAACAACAAAACCTCAGGAAGCCAAAGCTGTTCCCACAACCTCATAGGTTTGCCATATAAGTCTGTGATAATGAGTATCATTATAAATACTCAGAAAAACCAAAGCTGGAACTCTTCTATAGGACCTTATGTGATGACACCCAATTTCTGACAGCTACTGCCTTACTAGGCTCCCAGAGGAGATAAATAAACTATTGGTGCTATGTATTCAATTTGAGACTAGGAGCTAGTCTTACTGCCATTCATCTTTGACCAGAACTTCTCCAGAAACAGCCACTGAATCTGGAGTCCCAGAAAAAGGCAGGGAAGGGGAAAAGATGGACAAAATAGGACATCCCACCAAAATCCTGGAGAAATCTAGGGTAAGCATTTATATCCTCCTCTAGCTTGGGCCTAAAATCAGAAAAGTAAAAGTTTTTCCCTCTTCCTGGTTTGGTGAAGCCATCTTCAGCTTGTCAATCCTCTTTCCGTTGTGCCACAGTTTCTAGCTTTTGCTCTTGTAAGTGGTTCTTCTCCCTATTCTTCATAGGGAAGTAGCGGTTACCATTATTACACTCGTTGCTGTCTCTGGATAAGGCACATTGTGATGGAGCTGGAAGACGATAATCACTCTTCTCTTCCTTGATCAATGCGCCACTGTTTCCATTTACCTGGGAGCGAGACCGACCCTGATGAAGCTCCAGGGATTTAGAAACTCCATCTGAAGAGCCCTGTTAAAAACAGAGATACTCAGTGGAAATGGGAATCCAGACTGGCTGACCCTTCCTAAGCATATTCATAAGCTAGCCTGAGAAAGCGGCTTCAGTTCTTCGAAAACACCAGAAGACCTCAAGCTAGTTGCTAACTAGTACATTCTTTTTTTTTTTTTTTTTTTGAGATGGAGTCTCGCTCTGTCGCCCAGGCTGGGGTGCAGTCTGCAATCTCGGCTCACTGTAACCTGCCTCCAAGGTTCAAGCAATCCTCCCACCTCAGCCTCCTGAGAGTAGCTGGGTTTACAGGCACCCACCACCACGCCTGGCTAACTTCTGTATTTTTAGTAGAGATGGGGTTTCATCATGTTGGCCAGGCTGGTGTCGAACTCCTGGCCTTAACTGATCTCCCTACCTCAGCCTCCCAAAGTGCTGGGATTACAGGTGTGAGTCACTGCGCCCTGACGGATACCTAGTACATTCTGGTATTATATTGAGAAGTTAGGGTGAAAACATATAGACCCAACTGAAATCCAATGGCAATGACAACACAATAATGACACAGCTACTTTTTCTTTTTTTTATACAGGGTCTTGCTCTGTCACCCAAGTTGGAGTGCAGTGCTGCAATCCTGGCTTAACTGCAGCCATGACCTCCTGGGCTCAAGCCATCTTCCCACCTCAGCTCCCCCAAGTAGCTGGGACTACATGCGTGCACCACCACATCCAGCTGATTTTTGTATTTTTTGTAGAGACAGGGTTTCACCATGTTGGCCACACTGGGCTTGAACTCCTGAGCTCAGGTCATCTGCCTGCCTCAGCCTCCCAACGTGCTGGGATTACAGGTGTGAGCCACTGCGCCTGGCTGACGCTGCTACTATTTACAAAGCTTAACAATATGTTTTTCTAATACTATGGGGATCCTAAATGGTAGATATGATCATGCCCCATTTGCTGATGAGGAAGGTGAGGCTCAGAAAGATTAAAGCAACTTGCTTAAGGAGACACAGATACAAAGTCGTGGGGCCAGGATTCTACTCCTCTAAAGTCTATTCTCTTAACTGCCATGCAACACTGCCTAATGCTGACAACTGGACAGGCAAATGAAAGAAAAGGAAACAAACACAGAAGATCTATGTGCAATATTCCACAGAATCTTTCTTTTCTTTTTGAGACAGAGTTTCGCTCTTGTTGCCCAGGCTGGAGTGTAGTGGCACGATCTCAGCTCACCCCAACCTCTGCCTCCCGAGTTCAAGCAATTCTCCTGCCTCAGCCTCCCAAGTAGCTGGGATTACAGGCATGTGCCACCATGCCTGGCTAATTTTGGTTTTTAGTAGAAACGGGATTTCTCCATGTTGGTCAGGCTGGTCTCGAACTCCTGACCTCAGGTGATCTGCGCAACTCAGCCTCTCAAAGTGCTGGGATTATAGGCGTGAGCCACAGAATCTTTCATAACTAAAAACAATCACCTGGTTTTTGTAAATCCCAGGAACATGATAGCTATTGCTAATGATATGAACTACATTACCTTGTAGTGCAGTGCTGGCTCTTAATGAATGGTGCTAGGAATAATAACAGCTTCTAAGTGGTTGGACATGCCACATACTCTGTTGTTCCTTTTACAGATAAGAAAACTGAAGCTCCTAGGAAGCCAAGGCGGGCAGATTGTTTGAACTCAGGAGTTTGAGACCAGAACCCCATGTCTACAAAAATTACAAAAATTGGCTGGGCATGGTGGCATGCACCTGTGGTCCAAGCTACCTGGGAGGTTGAGGTGGGAGGATCGCTTGAGCTTGGGAGGTCCAGGCTGCAGTGAGTCATGATTGCACCACTGCATTCCAGCCTGGGCAACAGAGTGAGATCCTGTCTTAAAAAAAAAAAAAAGAAAAGAAAAGAAAAAGAAAACATGAACAGGCTCAAAAAAGTACAAAGACTTTACTTTTAGTCCTCATATAACAACTCTGCAACATAGATACCAATTTCTCCAATTTTATAGATGAGAAAACTAGGGCAGAGAGGCTAAGTAACTTGCCCAAGGTCACAGAACTAATAAGTAGCAGAACCAGATTCAAAGCTAGATCATTTGGTTCCAAAGTCTGTACAATACGGGGCTTACTGTGAAGTATTGTCCAACAACCTGGAAATAACATGAAACTAGTAACAGCCATACAAATGGATGGAATTAGCCACCTGAAGGAGTCAACAAATAAATCAAAACATTACAAGTAAGTCACTTAAGAATTTAAGAACAGGCAGCCAGGCGCTGTGGCTCACGCCTGTAATCCCAGAATTTTGGGAGGTCGAGGCGGGTGGATCACAAGGTCAGGGGTTGAAGACCAGCCTGATCAACATGGTGAAACCCCGTCTCTACTAAAAATACAAAAAAAAGTAGCCGGATGTGGTAGTGGGCACCTGTAATCCCAGCTACTCAGGAGGCTGAGGCAGGAGAATTGCTTGAACCCAGGAGGCGGAGGTTGGGGTGAGCCGAGATCGTGCCACTGTACTCCAGCCTGGCGACACGACGAGACTCTGTCTCAAAAAAAAAAAAAAAAAAAAAAAAAAATTTAAGAACAGGCCTGGCTGGGTGCGGTGTCTCACTCCTGTAATCCCTGCACTTTGGAAGGCCGAGGCGGGCGGATCATGAGGCCAGGAGTTTGAGACCAGCCTGGCCAACATGGTGAAACCCTGTCTCTATTAAAAATACAAAAATTAGCCGGGTGTGGTGGTGGGCACCTGTAATCCCAGCTACTTGGGAGGCTGAAGCAGGAGAATCGCTTGAATCTGGGAGGCAGAGGTTGCAGTGAGCTAAGATCGTGCCACTGCACTGCAGCCTGGGCACTTTGGGAGGCCAAGGCAGGCAGATCAACTGAGGTCCGGAGTTCAAGACCAGCCAGGCCAATATGGTGAAACCCTGTCACTACTAAAAATATAAAAATTTGCTGGGTGTGGTGGTGCATTCCTGTAATCCCAGCTACTTGGAAGGCTGAGGCAGGACAATTACTTGAACCCAGGAGGCGGAGGTTGCAGTGAGCTGACATCGCGCCACTGCACTCCAGCCTGGGTGATGGAGCAAGACTGTTTTTAAAAAAGTAAAATTAGGCCGGGTGCGGTGGCTCACGCCTGTAATCCCAACACTTTGGGAGGACAAGGCAGGCGGATCACGAGGTCAGGAGATCGAGACCATCCTGGCAAACATGGTGAAACCCCGTCTCTACTAAAAATACAAAAAAATTAGCCGGGCGTGGTGGCGGGCACCTGTAGTCCCAGCTTCTAGGGAGGCTGAGGCAGGAGAATGGTGTGAACCCGGGAGGTAGCGGAGCTTGCAGTGAGTGGAGATCGCACCACTGCACTCCAGCCTGGGCGACAGAGCGAGACTGTCTCAAAAAATAAATAAAATAAATAAAATTACAAAAAAAAAAAAAAAGAATTTGGTAAGAACATATAAAACTCTTGTGGCCTAGGAATAATCTCAGGAAGACAGGATTACAGTGTAACCAGATTTAACAAGCTGGAACATTTTATTAATTATCTCATACTCTTCTTTTTCTGTCCCGATTGAAACAGAAAAAGAAGAGTCAAAAAGGAAGTCAGCAGCAGCTCTGTCCAGAGAAGATGGCTTGCTATAAACCAAGCTGAAATGAGGATTTCCTTGGCTAGGTGACCTCTAGAGCAGATAACAGTGTCTGCAGCCATCTTAGCTAAGAGAAACTTAAGATCACCTACCATTCCTTGTTTTCTCTCACTTGCCTCATCTGTAAAATAGAATAAGAGTATCTACTTTGTAGGTTCCTGTAAGGATTCAATGAGACACTACATATAAAGTACTTAGAACATGTGTGTTTGGCACAGTGTAAGAATTCAATAAATGCTCACTAAGGCTGGGCACAGTGGCTCATCCCTGTAATCCCAGAACTTTGGGAGGCCGAGGCAGGCTGATCACCTGAGCTCAGGAGTTCGAGACCAGTCTGGCCAACATGGCGAAACCTTGTCTCTACAAAAAATATAAAAATTAGCTGGGCATGGTGGCGTGCACCTGTAGTCCCAGCTACTCAGAAGGCTGAGGTAGGAGGATCACTTGAGCCCAGGGGTTTGAGGCTGCAGTAAACTATGATTGCAACACTGCACTCCAGCCTGCGTGACTCATTAAAAAAAAAAAAAGCTAGCTAATATCATTGTTCTGATTCCATGCCCCCAAGCAAACTTCTGATACCATGGCCTCTCTTGTAGCTTGCCCTTAGATAAAGAAAGCTCTAGTAGTAATGGTTAAAGGCCTGTACGCTAGAGTCAGCCACACCTGAGTCTGATGCTTGTCTCTAACAACTAGAGTTGTTATGCTATATTGGAATTAGCATAGCATAGGGCTTTGGAATCAGTTAGCTCAGGCTGTAATGTCAATTCTGACACTGACTTGATAGATAATTTGGGGCAAGATACTTCATTCTTCTGGGTCTCAATTTCCTCCTGTTTAAAATGGGGAACAGGCCAGATGCGGTGGCTCATTCCTATAATCCCAGCACTTTGGGAGGCCCAGCTTGAGGCCAAGAGTTTGATACCAGCCTGGGCAACATGGCAAAACCCCATCTCTACAAAAAATATTTAAAAATTAGCTGAGTGTGGTGGCTCACCCCTGTAGTCCCAGCTACTCAGGAGGCTGAGGTGGGAAGTTTGCTTGAGCCTGGGAGGTTGAGGCTGCAGTGCACTGCACTTTAGCTTGGGTGACAGAGTGAGACCCTGTCTCAAAAAATAATAATAAAATGGAGAATAATAAATACTTCACAGAGTATTTATGTGGTTTCAATGAGCTCATGTGTTTGTAAGAGTGATTAGAAGAGTAAATGTGTGATACATTGTGATAACTATTTCTTATCGTAAATCAGTTCTTTATCTCTCACCCCTTCTTCCCCTACCCCTTAGCCATATTCACACAGCTATTTCTATGATCTTGGTTAGTGTGAGTCAACCACTAAGAGATAGATCTACTCTTATTATACCAAAAGTATCAGGCTTTTCAGACTGTATGTCTGATGACCAGACCCTGAATCCTGGTGAATTCACCAAGGCTATACTGTCTTACGAGAGAGCCTATCTGGTGATTAGCTTTCCTTCTAGGTGCATCCTTTTTACCTTACTGAGCAGCTTCAAGAAAAAGGTGAGAAGCTTTACCAAAGTCACTGTTCTCTAGCTTTGGAGTGCATTATGAAATGCTTTGCATGGGAGACTTACTATCTAGTTCCACTTTTGGCTAAAAGTAACATTAAAGCAAATTTATCTTCTTTGAGGAAACATTAGATGATGGGGATTAACATGGATGCAGTGAGGGCTGGCTGTATACAGAATAGATTTAGGGTTGAGAACTGATGAAAAAATTGCCCAGGATTAAAGACTACATGTAGAATGTCTAGAGGAGGCTTGGTAGAAAGTAGGTACTCAAGAAATGGTAGCTGCTATACTATAAGAAGCCCAGCAGCTTGAGTCTACTACAATATTTTGGATCACTATAAGAATAGGTCCTTCTAGTTTGTATTTGGGTGGGGTGGGGCATAACTAATGAGGACCAGTGGGAACTGTGATATAATTCAAGGCATGGATTAGAAGAAAGTTTAAAGGCTGGGCGCAGTGGCTCACACCTATAATCCCAGCACTTTAAGAGGCTGGAGGATCACTTGAGCCCAGGACTTTGAGACCAGCCTGGGGCAACAAAGTAAGACTGTCTCTACAAAAAAAATAGAAAAACTTTGGGGGGCCAAGGTGGGCGGATCACGAGGTCAGGAGATCGAGACCATCCTGGCTAACACAGTGAAACCCTATCTCTACTAAAAATACAAAAAATTAGCCGGGTGTGGTGGTGGGCGCCTGTAGTCCCAGCTACTTGGGAGGCTGAGGCAGGAGAATGGTGTGAACCCGGGAGGTAGAGCTTGCAGTGAGGTGAGATCTTGCCACTGCACTCCAGCCTGGGTGGCAGAGCGAGACTCCCATCTCAAAAAAAAAGAAAAACTTAGCAGGGTGTGGTGGCGCACAACTGTAGTCCCAGCTACTTAAGAGACGGAGCTGCGAGGATTGTGTGAGGCAAGGAGGTAGAGGCTGCAGTGAGCTGTGATTGTGCCACTGCACTCCAGCCTGCCTGAGTGACAGAGTAAGACCCTGTCGAGAGAGAGAGAGAGAGAGAGAGAGAGAGAGAGAGAGAGAGAGAGAAAGAGAGAAGACAGAGAGAAAGTTCAAGACATTTCTGAGTCATTGAGAATAAGCAGGCCAGGTGCGGTGGCTCACGCCTGTAATCCCAGCACTTTGGGAGGCAGAGGTGAGTGGATCGCCTGAGGTCGGGAGTTCGAGACCAGCCTGACTAACATGGAGAAACCCCATCTCTACTAACAATACAAAATTAGCCAGGCGTGGTGGCGGGCGCCTATAATCCCAGCTACTCGGGAGGCTGAGGCAGGAGAATCGCTTGAACCTGGGAGGCGGAGGTTGTGGTGAGCCGAGATCGTGCCATTGTACTCCAGCCTGGGCAACAGGAGCTAAACTCCGTCTCAAAAAAAAAAAAAAAAGAATAAGCAGAATGGTAATGCTCCTGCCACATATATTCAGCAAAGGTAAAAAAGTCCAATTTTTTAAAGTCCACCATATCTGGTGGCCCCTCAGAAGCTCAGGCAGGCTATGGGCAGTCTCACTGTTAGCATCACTCTGGCCCCTTTCTGGCTGCATGTTACACATAGTATGCTAGGAGGTCTTTAGGACACAGTACCTGGTTTCTATCTTGTGGCCTCACTCAGAAAAGGGTAAGACTCTGCAGCCCTGTAGGAACAGCTTGGGGCAGGCTAACCCTCACTATACCGTTAAAATGAAATCAAATGCCTGAAGGAGTTGAGAAGCTCCCCTAAGCAGCTCAGGTTTCCATGCCTGACGTGATCTCTTGTAGTTTAGCTGAAAAGGCAAAAGGCATCAAACAGAAGCTAAATATCTCAAAAAACATACTTACTTGCTTATTTCCTTTTTTGTGTCCCTTGGATCCTCTACCAGTCTGTTCTTTTCCATGCCTTTAGCAAGTGAGAGAAAAAGTGATCATGAGAAACATAAAGCCCACACACCCCTTTTCACTTGGTTAACTATTTGTCTCCTCTTGGAAGTCTGACCCCTCTTAAAGTCAGATGCCCCTTCTCAGTGTTACTACTGAACATCTATCTCGGTCATTGCTATATTCTACTGAACTGAATTATTCTGTATCCCATATCCTCCTCTAGGGCAAAAAACTCTTTCATCAAGGCAGAGCAAGTTATTATATATTTGCTGAGGTAAACTGAAGACTGATTTAAAGAAACGGAAAGTTGGGCCAGGCGCGGTGGCTCACACCTGTAATCCCAGCACTTTGGGAGGCCGAGGTGGGTGGATCACCTGAGGTCAGGAGTTTGAGACCAGCCTGGCCAACACGGTGAAACCCCATCTCTATTAAAAATACAAAAATTAGCCTGGCGTGGTGGTGGGCGCCTGTAATTCCAGCTACTTGGGAGACTGACGCAGGAGAATCACTTGAACCAGGGAGGTGGAGGTTGCAGGAAGCCGAGATCATGCCACTGCACTCCAGCCTGGGCAACAAAGTGAGACCCCATCTCAAAAAGAGAAAGAAAAAAAAAAAAAAAAAAGTAAATTTAGTTAGTACTTCTTGCTTTAATAGAAGGATTTAATACCTAGGCATTTTCCCAAGGATACCTAGGCATTTTCCCAAGGGGACTAGCTCATACCAACCTATTTGGATACATACCCCTTTCCTGGCCCACCGACAGAAACCACTTGCATGCCGAAGGATCCTCGGCCCCTGGAGGATCTGCTGCCAGCCCACTGGCCCACAACCATTCCAGCAATCTCCAGTTTTCCTCCTTGGGGTGGGATTGGATGGAGACCTGGCAAGACAGAAAGAATGGTGGTAATGGGGCAGGTGTGGTGGCTCACGCCTGTAATCCCAAAACTTTGGGAGGCCGAGTCGGGTGGATCACTTGAAGTCAGGAGTGGAGTTCCAGAGCCAGCCTAGCCAACATGGTGAAACCCTGTCTCTACTAAAAATACAAACAATTAGCCAGGCACCGTGGTGCGTGCCTGCAATCTCAGCCACTGGGGAGGCAGAGGCACAAGAATCACTTGAACCCAGGAGGTGGAGGTTGCAGTGAGCTGAGACTGTGCCACTGCACTCCAGCCTGGGTGAAAGAGTGAGATTCTGTCTCCAAAAAAAAAAAAAAAAAAAAAGAAGAAAAAAGTATTGTAAGTACAAGGCAGGATAAGAGGTGGACAAAAGATCCTACAACCCACCACCTACTCTTCTTATTTCCATTTCTCTCTGATAAAAAGACTCTGTGGCAGGGCATGGTGGCTCATGCCTGTAATGCCAGGAGTTTGAGACCAGCCTGGCCAACATGGGGAAACCTTGTTTCTACTAAAAATACAAAAATTAGCTGGGTGTGGTAGCCTGTGCCTGTAGTCCCAGCTACTCAGGAAGATTAGGCAGAGAGAATCGCTGAACCCGGGAGGTGGAGGTTTGCAGTGAGCCAAGTTCACGCCACTGCCTCCAACCTGGGCGATGGAGCAAGACTCTGTCTCAAAAAAAAAAAAAAAAAATAGAAACTCTGTGATAACAGAAAGGTGTCATGATGGAAGCACATTCGTGGAAAGGGCCGAAGATCTGTACACATCTACTTTAGCAAGTGTTAGACGGTGATCTATTTTTTAATCACAGAGGCCTAGCATTATAGTAGGCATTCAGTATTGTTGAGAGAATGAATGTCTTAACATCTAGTTATCAGAAAATTACAAACCTGGCTGGGCGGCGGTGGCTCAAGCCTGTAATCCTAGCACTTTGGAGGGCTGAGATGGGGCGGATCACGAGGTCAGGAGTCAGGGACCATCCTGGCTAACACGGTTGAAACCCCGTCTCTACTAAAAAAATAACAAACCTATCGCTTGGGCGAGGCGGGTGGCGGGCGCCTGTAGTCCAGCTACTCGGAGGCTGAGGCAAGCGAGAATGGTTATACCGGGGAGAGGTGGAGCTTCAGTGAGACCGAGATCCGCCACTGCACTCAGCACTGGGCGACAGGCGAGACCGTCTCAAAAAAAAAAAAAAAAAAGAAAATTACAAACCTAAACTAAACTACCTTTTTTTTTTTTGTTTTTTGAGACACAGTCTCACTGTGACACCCAGGCTGGAGTGCAATGGTGCGATCTTGGCTAACTGCAACCTCTACTTCCCGGGTTCAAGTGATTCTCCTGCCTCAGCCTCCTGAGTAGCTGGGACTACAGGCGCATGCCACCAGGCCCAGCTAATGTTTGTATTTTTAGTAGAGACAGGGGTTCACCATATTGGCCAGGCTGGTGTCGAACTCCTGACCTCAAGTGATCCACCCGCCTCGGGCTCTCAAAGTGCTGGGATTACAGGCTTGAGCCACAGTGCCTGGTCCTAAACTACTTTTGATACAAATATACATCATTACAGATCGTAGGATTAGCCAAATAACCAAACTAAACTGAAAATAATGAAACTAAACTAACAGTAATTTATACTTAAAAAGCAAGAATAGGCTGGGCATGGTGGCTCATGCCTGTAATCCCAGCACTTTTGGAGGCCAAGGTGGGTGAATCATTTGAGGTCAGGAGTTCAAGACCAGCCTGACCAACATGGTGAAATCCTGTCTCTACCAAAAATACAAAAAAATTAGCCAGGCGTGGTGGCACATGCCTGTAGTCCCAGCTACTCAGGGGGCTGAGTCAGGAGAATTGATTAAACCTGGGAGGTGGAGGTTGCAGTGAGCGGAGATGGCGCCACCGCATTCCAGCCTGGGTGACAGAGCGAAAGTCCATCTCAAAAGAAAAAAAAAAACCAAAAAACCAAGAACAGCAACAACTGAAAATCAGAACTAAGTCACAAGCACAGTGAGTTTTATAATTTAGCACAAAAATAAGCCTTTACAGAATATGGAGTTCTACTAAGCCTTTAATTTTAGTTTATGACAAGAAACCAAATGAACCCTTAACTCATTTAGCAGGTTGTTAGTAAAGAGTACTTCATTTAGGACAGGCATGGTGGCTCACACCTGTAATCCCAGCACTTTGGGAAGCTGAGGCAGGCAGGATCGCTTGAGCCCAGTTCAAGACCAGCCAGGGCAACACAGTGAGACCCCATCTCCATACACACACAAAAATATTAGCTAGGCATGTTGGTGCGTGTTTGTAGTTCCAGCTATTCACGGGGCTGAGGTGAGCAAATCACTTGAGCCCAGGAAGTCGAGGATGCAGTAAGCCGTGATTGTACCACTGCACTCCAGCCTGGGCAACAAAGTGAGAACCTGTATTCACAAAAAAAAAAAAAAAGAAAAGAGTCCTTCATTTATACAAAACTTTATAAAATTTGAGAGTCCAAGGAACTAGAGTGCTAGTTACCTTTTTGTTTGTTTGAGACAGAGCCTCGCCATGTCTCCTAGGCTGGAGTGCAGTGGTGTGATCTTGGCTCACTGCAGTTTCTGCCTCCCGGGTTCAAGCGATTATTGTGTCTCAGTCTCCCGAGTAGCTGGGATTACAGACAGGTGCCAGCCAGCATGCCTGGCTAATTTTTATATTTTTTGTAGAGACAGGGTTTCACCACATTGGCCAGGCCTGTCTGGAAGTCCTGACCTCAAGTGATCTGCCCACCTTGGCCTCCCAATGTGCTGGAATTACAGGCATGAGCCACTGCTCCCTGCCTAAAGTGCTAGTTACTTTTTTTTTTTTGAGACGGAGTCTCGCTTTGTCACCCAGGCCGGAGTGCAGTGGCGCCATCTCGGCTCACTGCAAGCTCCGCCTCCCGGGTTCATGCCATTCTCCTGCCTCAGCCTCCGAGGAGCTGGGACTACAGGCGCACACCACCACGCCTGGCTAATTTTTTTTTGTATTTTTAGTAGAGATGGGGTTTCACCGTATTAGCCAGGGTGGTCTCTATCTTCTGACCTCGTGATCCGCCCGCCTCCGCCTCCCAAAGTGCTGGGATTACAGGCGTGAGCCGCCGCGCCCGGCAGAGTGCTAGTTACTTTTAAGAGGGACAAGAAAGACTTGCATTTGAGGATCCTACTGTGGGCTTTCAGGAGGCAAGAGGCTCCTTGTGAACCACCAGTAACTGGAGACTAAGCATCACTGGTAGGTAAGGCAGTGGTGACCTTCCGAGAACCTGGCTTTAATTAAGGCTGTCTTTTGAGACTTACAAAATAAAATCAACACATAAAGAACAGAGAAAGGATCTGTAAAGTCATCTGAAAGGGATGGACTGGCTGGCTCCCTGGTTTTTAAGACTTGATCATGATCTGACTGAACAGGGAGTTACCAGAGCAGACTTTCACACTGTTCATCTAAGCCCAGCCTTGAGCTAACCACCCATACTGAATTTTGTCACCCTGAAAAACTAACTTCAACTTCCAGCTTTATTACTTTTAAAGGGAGGAGCAATAGGTAACAAACACCTTCAACCACAGCAATGACACTCTGACCCAATCACAGAATCTTGCTATTTTATGATAAAATGTCTCCACTAAAATATCCTGTTTCACTGCCAGGTGCCGTGGCTCACGCCTGTAATCCTAGCACTTTGGGAGGCCAAGGCGGGCAGATCACCTGAGGATGGAAGTTCGAGACTAGCCTGACGAATATGGTAAAATCCCGTCTCTACTAAAAATACAAAAATTAGCCGGGCTGTGGACAGAGGGAGACCCTGTCTCAAAAAAAAAAAAAAAAAAAAAAAAAAAATCTTGTTTCACCACAGGACAGATTGTCTGAATTATCAGGATCAGTATCTGAGCAACCTAGGCATGATTATGTATTCATCATTAAGCTGTAGTTCAGGTGCCACCGTAATTTATACATGTGTTGGTGTGTACATATGTGTGTGTGTGTGCATGTTTGTTTTCCTCACTAAACTGCAATCCTCTGGTGGCATGGATGGTGACATATTTCTCTCCATGCTTCTGGAGCTGAAGGACGGGAAATGTGTCAAGTATATTCCCAGAGTGGAAATGGATACATCAAGCTACTATTGTCTACCAGCACTGGCTGTTTACTCTCACTGATCTTCCTGCAAGCTCCTGTGTGCATTGCCTATAGGGAAGGAATGAACGGACAGCAACCATGAAGAGCCGGTCCATATGACTTACAGTTCTCTAAAGTAATAAAGTGGGTTCTGGTTTCCACATCAGTCACTTCATGAGTTTGGTTGGTGAGAGTCAAATCCCTGGGAACCAAGTACCTCTATGAAGAGTGGTCTTAGAAGTCAAAATGGACATAAGCTGCTCTTCAAACTACATAGCACAGAATATAAATGAGATGAGGCTGGGCGCTGTGGCTCACGCCTGTAATCCCAGCACTTTGGGAAGCTGAGGCGGGTGGATCACCTGAGGTCAGGAGTTCGAGACCAGCCTGACCAACATGGTGAAACTCCATCTCTACTAAAAATACAAAATTAGCCAGGTGTGGTGGCGTGTGCCTGTAATCTCAGCTACTCAGGAGACTGAGGCAGGAGAATCGCTTGAACCCAGGAGGTGGAGGTTACAATGAGCCGAGATCACACCATTGCACTCCAGCCTGGGTGACAAGAGTGAAACTCCATCTTAAAAAAAAAAAAAAAAGTCAATGAGATGAGATATATGTGAAACTGTTGATCCTATTATTGACAATAATGACTGGATAGATTATTATGACATAAATTGAGGATGGTAAATACCTCATTCTTAGGTACTGACCTGCAAATCCCCGGCTCCTCCCTTGAGGGGGAAGTGGCATGGAGCCCATAGCTCGGGAATAAAGTGAAACAGGGTAGAGAGAGGGCACCATAGGAGGCACAAAAGTAGGTGACGGAAGTAGAGCAGAAGGCGGTGGATGATTCATGTTGATTCCTTCAAGGATGCTCTGTCTCATCTTTTCCACTTTGGTTGCCAGGTCAGCCTTCAAATGAGGAAGAGTAATAATAGCAGCTGCCATTTTTCGAACTTGTCCCATGTTTTAGGCCCAGCATGGGGCACTCTAGGTACAGTCTCACAATTCTATTCCCATTAAGTGAACTGAGGCCTGTCGTTAAAGGGCTCAAAGCTACACACTCAGGAAGCCTGTCTGGCACCAAAGCCCTGACTCTTTACATGACATCATACTACCATATGAGTTCTGACTCAGGGCTTGTGATGTACATTGACTAGGTCATGGAAGACAAATTTAACAATAAGAATTACTGATGGTCTATTACATGGCTGGCATTGGGCTGGGTCACTTCTAAGGGAGATGTAACAGAATTAGATAAAAGAGAAAATAAAAATCTGACAAATAAAAAGCCTTTTAACCTTCTCCCCCATATCCAAGATTGGAGATCCTGATACCTCTAGTCCAGAGGTCTGCAAACTTCTTCTGAAAAGGGTGAGATAGTAAATATTATAGGCTTTGTAGGCTATATTGTCTCTGTCACAATTATTCCACTTGGCTACTGTAACATGAAAGCAGTCATAGGCCAGGCGTGGTGGCTCACGCCTGTAGTCCCAGCAATTTGGGAGGCCAAGGCAGGTGGATCACCTGAGGTCAGGAGTTTGAGACCAGCCTGACCAATGTGATGAAACTCCGTCTTTACTAAAAATACAAAAAAAATTAGCCAAGCATGGTGGCGTGCACCTGTAGTCCCAGCTACCTGGGAGGGTGAGACAGGAGAATCACTTGAACCTGGGAAGCAGAGGTTGCAGTGAGCCAACATTGCACCACTGCACTCCAGCCTGGGCGACAAAGTGAGAATCTGTCTCAAAAAAAAAAAAAGAAAGAAGTCAGAGATGGTATGTAGATGAATGAATGTGGCTGTGTTCCAATAACATTTTATTTACAAAAACAGAGGGTGGTCTGTATTACAAAAAACAGGTGGTTTGTAGCACTATGGACAGCGCAAAAAACTATGGATAGTGACAAAAAACAGGAGGTGTGCTGGGTAGTCTGCCAACCCCTGCTCTAGTCCCTCAGCTCTTTTCCCCACCAAAATGGATAAAGGAGTTAAGTAAGGTTTCCTTTCCCTTGCCTCCCCTCATCTTCCCAATGTTTCATTTAAAAAAATCCCTTTGGGAGGCTGAGGCAGGTGGATCACAAGGTCAAGAGATTGAGACCATCCTGGCCAACATGGTGAAATCCCGTTTCTACTCAAAATACAAAAATTAGCTGGGCCTGGTGGTGCATGCCTGTAGTCCCAACTACTGGGGAGGCTGAGGCAGGAGAATCGCGTGAACCTGGGAGGCAGAAGTTGCAGTGAGCCGAGATCACGCCACTGCACTCCAGCCTGGCGACAGAGCGAGACTCCGTCTCAAAAAAAAAAAAAAAAAAAAAAATCCTCTGCTTCTACTCTATCATCAACTTTACTATCCTCTTCTGTTTCCAAACACAGCTCCTTTACAAAAAAAAAAAAAAAAATTGCTTGCAAAAGAGACAGACAGTTTTTGTAAATAAGAGAAATGAAATCCTGAGTTGGAGGGAAGGTATATAGTATATCTGAATATTCCATGGATAAGAAATACTCAGAGTAAGAAAAAGGATATGAAAACTTCAAGCTCATTAAAAAAAACTTTCCAACATAAAATTTTACAACATGTACATATCAGACTATGGGCCTTTGGGACCACTGTTGACTTAAGTCAGGTTAAAGTGAGACATAGTCTCCTGCTTCCGCCCCATCCCTCTCCAATATGTCTGCTCCTTTCCCCTCCCTGCCCGTTCACTCCCACAGGAGATCAGAGCTAGTCCTTAGCAGCCTGACATGCTGGTACCTGGCCATCACAGAGCTCAACCAGAGATACTCGCTCTCGGCCTGCTTTAATTAGCTTGCTCTGGAACAGCTTGCCATCAAAGTAAATCCATGGACAGCAATGCTCCCAAGGGACTGGCTGGCCACAGGCATCATTAGCAAACAGAGCTGTGTCGACTCCACTCATGAAGAGGGCAGCAAGCTGGATCCCTCGGGCATCCAGTTTCTCAATCTGAAACCACCACAGATGAAATATTACTATTAAGAAACTACTATTCTTGGTAACATTTACTCTTATTCCTGTCATGTTGATTCTTCCAGTTAAATTTGAACATGCTGTCATTCAATGTAGACATCTCAGTGCATAAGCAGCTTCTATCCATGTCTTTCCCCTAAGATGATTTGAAAGGTACTCATTACAACATTAAAGACACCAACCTGAGACATTTTTATTTTCACCTGTCAAATTAGAAAAAAATTTACAAAGTAAAGGCTGAAAGAACACTCAATGCTGCTGCTGCTGATGCAGTGAAATAAATGGGCAATCATATAAAGCTGGTAAAAAATGTATATTACATGACCAGGTGCAGTGGCTCACGCCTGTAATCCCAGCACTTCGGGAGGCCGAGGCAGGCGGATCACCTGAGGTCAGCAGTTCGAGACCAGCCTGGCCAACATGGTGAAACCCCGTCTCTACTAAAAATACAAAAATTAGCCAGGCGTGGTGGTGGGCATCTGTAGTTCCAGTTACTCAGGAGGCTGAGGTGAGAGCATCACTTGAACCTGGGAGGTGAAGGTTGCAGTGAGGTGAGATTGCGCCACTGCACTCCAGCCTGGGCAACAGAGCAAGACTCCATCCCAAAAAAAAAAGGAAAAAAAAAAAAAGAAATGTATATTACAATTAAGCAATATGTATGAAGAACCCTGAAAACGTTCACATTTGTTGAGTTAGAAATTAAACTTGCAGATACCAACACCATGTTTCTTGTACAGCCTGAAAAACTGTGAACCAAAGAAAATTCTTTTCTTTACCGGGTGTAGTGGCTCATTCCTGTAATCCCAGTATTTTGGGAGGCTGAGGTGGGTAGATTGCTTGAGGCCAGGAGTTTGAGACCAGCCTGGCCAACATGGCAAAACCCTGTCTCTACTAAAATAAGTTAGCTGGTCATGGTGGCATTTGCCTGTAATCCCAGCTACTCAAGAGGCTGAGGCAGGAGAATCGCTTGAACCCAGGAGGTGGAGGTTGCAGTGAGCTGAGATTATGCCACTGCACTCCAGCCTGAGTGACAGAGTGAGACTCTGTCTCAAAAAAAACCTCTTTACCGATTACCCCGCTTCAGGTATTCCTTTACAGCAACTCTAAATGGAGTAAGACAACACATAACAGAGTAAAACTGAAAACAACCTAAGTCGCCAATATTTTATACATCCATATGATAAAATATTATTTATTAAAATTTTTAAGACACAGAAAATATGTGCTATGTGAAATGGAAAAAAGCCACAATATATAATTACATAAATACTACCTCAACTACGTAAAAAATGTATGACAGAAGACTGGAAAAAAACCTCAAAATTCCCACAGTGGTTATCTCAAGCCACTGTATTAGAAGACAGCTTTAACAGGAAAGTGTTTGCAGGTCCCCTCCTAGGTGTGGTTTAGCACGAGCAGTTATTCTAGGACAAGCAATACTACATTTACTGCAAAAAGCAAGCATTCACTGGTTGTCTTGAGTCTGTCTCATCTTTCCTTAGTTGACCTCACTTAAGATTTTGCAAGTCTTATTGAACTTGATCTTCTAGTTTACCTTGGGTGCTCAAAGGAACAAGGTTACTAAAGTCAAGGGAGGGATTAATGCATTAATGGCTACATTTATTGAGTACTGTGTATATAGAATATGTGAGACACTGGCCGGGCGTGGTGGCTCACGCCTGTAATCCCAGCACTTTGGGAGGCCAAGGTGGGTGGATCACCTGAGGTCAGGAATTCGAGACCAGTCCCACCAACAGAGAAACCCTGTCTCTACTAAAAATACAAAATTAACCAGGCGTGGTGGCGCATGCCTGTAATCCCAGCTACTTGGGAGGCTGAGACAGGAGAACCGCTTGAACCTGGGAGGTGGAGGTTGTGGTGAGCCGAGATTTGCACCAATTACACTCCAGCTTAGGCAACAAGAGGGAAATTCCATCTCAAAAAAAAAAAAAAAAAAAAAAAAGACACTGTTCTAGGGGTTTTACATGGATTATTTTACATAGTAGCCTCACAAACTGACATAGTTGGATATGTGACCCCTCCAAATTGCATGTTAAAATGTGATCCCCAATGTTGTAGATGGAACCTAGTGGGAGGTGTCTGGGTCATGGGGGCAGATCCCTCATGAATGCTTGTTGCCCTCCCTGTGGTAATGAGCGAGTTTTCACTCTATTAGTTCATGCAAGAACTGATTGTTAGAAAGAGCCCAGCACCTTGCCCTTCATTTTTTTTTTTTTTTTTTTGAGACAGAGTTTTGCTCTTGTTGCCCAGGCTGGAGTGCAGTGGCATGATCTCGGCTCACTGCAATCTCTACCTCCCGGGTTCGAATAATTCTACTGCCTCAGCCTCCCGAGTAGCTGGGATTACAGGTGCCCTGCCATCACGCCCGGCTAATTTTTGTATGTTTAGTAGAGACAGGGTTTCACCATGTTGGCCAGGGTGGTCTCGAACTCCTGACCTCATGATCTGCCCATCTCAGCCTCCCAAAGTGCTGGGACTACAGCACGGCTGCCCTTCTCTCTTACGTGCCCTGTCTCACCATGTGACATGCTGGCTCCTCTTGTCTTATTCCCCTCACCTTCTATCATGAGTAGAAGCTTCCTGAGACCCTGACCAGAAGCTGAGTAGATGCTGGCACCATGTTTTTTGTACAGTCTTCAGAACAATGGACTCAATAAACCTCTTTTCTTTATAAATTACCTAGTCTCAGGTATTCTTTTATAGCAACACAAAATGAACTAATATACAATTGTACAAGTAAGGAAACTGAAGCTAGAGAGGTTAAGTAACCTGCCCAAGGTCTATTTTCTGGGTTTATTTTCTTCCTTATGCTTTCCTATACTTCTACTTAATACTCAGTACCTATCACTAAAAGGAGATGTGTCTGAGTAAATAGACACAAGCAGGGGCCACCAGGATATGTCCCTTATAGTGTATCTTGTAAGAGTCAGAACCCTTGCCATGGTCTATGGGCCAAGATTTATTTTCCTTGCATAATATCCATCTTTTCTGTCCATTCTCATTTATCAGTATGAGAGTAGTGTAGCAGGCACATCTTGGCTTTATTCATAGACATAAATATTTGGCTAAAGTAAATCAAACAGTTACCTGCAGAACTTACTATTTTCCTCAGCTTCAGGCAAAAAAAAAAAAAAAAAAAAAAAGACCTCAAGTAGTGCTATAGGCTCATAAAAGAAAACTTAAATGAGGGTACATGAAATCACCTTGAGTTCTTGGAGTCGATCTGGTTCATAAAGCTGGGTAGACACTGCCTGTGCAAGGAAGGTGTCTAGCTCATGGCGATGCAGGATTCGGCCACCAGGCCACTGAACCATGTACCTAGAAAATAAAAGCACTGCTATTAGGCCACAAAAGCTCACTTATTCATGTCACAAAAACTTATGAAGTTAAGAACCTATCACGAGCCAGTACTTGGCTAGATTTTGGCAATACTAACTGAATGAAGGAAAAAGAATCTCTGCTTTCGTTACTTCCAGTCTGGGTGGTAGAGGAAACAGTCATGTACATTGATAATGACAGGACAGTGTGTTAAGTACCAAGATGGAAGAATGCACAGAGTGCTTGCTATGAGAGCATAGAAGAGGGCCATGACTGTAAAGGTGAGAGATGGCATCCTGAGAAAAGTCAGCAAGAGTTCAGTTTCAAAGGGCCTGTAGAATTTAGTGAGACAAAAGGTGGGGAAAGGATGTTCCAGGTTGAGTGAAGAGTATGATGTGTGAAGGCCTAAAGGTGTGGTTCAGCACAACGCACCAGCTTCCATATTGCTGAAGTTAAGCATGTTTGGAGTGACAGGAGGCAAGATTAGCAAGTAGGCCAGATTGGCGGCAGCCTGAGGAACACTGAGGGCTTCAGGTGGTGGAAGGTGCGGTCATGAACCATATCATGGTACTCAAGACATGGCCCAGGACAAGTGAAGTTCACATAAAAGCCCAGAATGTTTTAACGGAAAGCATGCATTTTGGAGACAGAAGATCTGAATTTGAGTGTTGGTTCCTCCACCTACTAGTTGATAGCTATGGACAAATTATTTAACCTTTCTGAGCCTTGGGTTTCTTCATCTACCAAATGGGGATAATAAAATTTGCCCTGCTCTTTTTACAGGGTGGTTGTGAGGATTAAATAGAGTTGCTAAAGAAAAGAATGAAAAAAAAAAAAGGTTGGGTGCGGTGGCTCATGCCTGTAATCATAGTACTTTGGGAGGCTGAGGCGGGCAGATCACTTGAGGCCAGGAGTTTGAGACCAGCCTTGCCAATGTGGTGAAACCCAGTCTCTACTAAAATTACAAAAATTAGCCGAGTGTGGTGGCGGGCACCTGTAATCCCAGCTACTCAGGAGGCTGAGGTAGGACAATCGCTTCAATCTGGGAGGCGGGGGTTATAATGAGCCGAGATTATGCCGTTGTACTCTAGTGTGGGAGACAGAATGTGGGGGGAGGGGGGAGAGAGGAGGAGGAGGAGGAGGAGGAAACAATGACGATGAAGAAGATGACAACAAAGAAGAAATTGTGTGTGTGGGGGAAATAAAAAAGAAAGTAGACCAGAGAACAGAGACTCAAAAACAGGATTAAGGAATTTGGATCTTCATCCTGAAATTGTAGGAAGACACTGTAGGATTGTCAGAAGGACTGGTTTGATAATGACTGGCTCTGGTTATTAATATTGTTTCTTTTTTTGGATTTATAGTTCCTTGATTTACCTTTGCCCATTCTTTCATTTTTAACCTTTCCATCTTATTTCATTGGCAAAATGTAAAGCAAAAATAGAAGAAAATGAACGCAAATGCAATTACAGTGCGAAACTTTTATATACCACTATTAAGCTATAATATGTAAACCATACCTAAAATACATTTAAATTTGCAGAAGATTTGAATAGTACAATAAATAAGGTTTAAATACTTGACTGACTTAATACAAAGAAAACACATTCTTTTTAAGTGCCCATATGAGTTCCCATGAGGTCTAGGATCTTGCCTGTTTGCCTTTGTTTGTGTTTATTATCCTTTATTTATTATGAACTATCTAGCCAAGTACATGGCATAGAATAGGTATTAATAAATATTTATTGGAAGAGCGACTGATGCATTAATCAGGTCATGCCAAGCCCAAAACAAAACAAGACAAAACTCAACAAAAATCCTTCAAAGCAGAATTTTACCAGTCATATCCTGAACCACTGTGCAAGAAAAATTGACCTAAAGGAGCCAAGTGTGGGAGAACAGCGAACTCACAGAAAGACTAACACAATGCAAGGGGTGTGATTTTAGAAGCTGAACAGATTGTTCTGGGTGCTCTGAGTCAGTGACTAAATTTACCTCAGAGAATCTAGATAAGGCTCCACAGAGGAGGGAACATTTAATTTCCTAGGGATTGGAGCTTTTTGTTTGGTTTGTAGTTTAATGTTAATTTGCAATTTTAAATGTCTCTCTAACCTTAATAGACTACATGCCAGAGTGGATGCTTAATAGATGTTTTCTGAACTAATAAGTCAATGTCAGGATATTTATAAGGAAATGCTAGCTCCATCTTTGGGCCCGCCCTACTATTCAACTACTCTTGAATGAATTATGAGACAGTATGTAGGGTCTAATGAGTCACAGGAGTGAGAGGCTCAGAAAAGGGGCAGCAGGAAATAATTATTAAATCAACCAATATTTATTGATGCTTCATCATGTGTGATTTTTGGAATTATATGATTCCACTGGGGATTTTCCCTGGAAAATAACAGCATTACTTATTCCCAAGGAATTTCCTCAATTTTAATGATGACAGCTTTATTATTGCTATTAGTGTTACATTACTACAAATATTACATACAAGCTTCAATATATGCAGCAAACTATAAGTTATACATAAGAATAACATTTACTAAATGCCTCTGATATTCTAGATACCTTGCTAAGAACTTTAGCTACAAAGTATGTCATGGCAAAGAATGCAAACTTGGAGACTGACATCCTTGGTTCTAATCTAGGTTCCACTACTCCTTTTCTTTTTTCCTTTTTTTTTTTTTTTTTCAGACGGAGTCTCGCTCTGTCGCCCAGGATGGAGTGCAGTGGCAGGATCTCCGCTAACTGCAAGCTCCGCCTCTTGGGTTCACGCCATTCTCCTGCCTCAGCCTCCCGAGTAGCTGGGACTACAGGTGCCCGCCACCATGCCCGGCTAGTTGTTTGTATTTCTTAATAGAGACGGGGTTTCACCGTGTTAGCCAGGATGGTCTCGATCTCCTGACCTCGTGATCCGCCCGTCTCGGCCTCCCAAAGTGCTGGGATTACAGGCTTGAGCCACCGCGCCCGGCCCATGCCCGGCTAATTTTTTGTATTTTTAGTAGAGACAGTGTTTCACTGTGTTAGCCAGGATGGTCTCGATCTCCTGACCTCGTGATCTGCCTGCCTCGGCCTCCCAAAGTGCTGGGATTACAGGCGTGAGCCACTGCACCTGGCCTCCGCTACTCCTTTTCTATGTGACTCTGGGCAACTAAATCCCCTGGACCTCTAGGGGAATTAGTTTGCTAATCTTTAGAATGAGGATGGCACCACCTACATCTCAAAAGGTTGTAATAAGTAAAGGAGAAAAAGTACATAAAAGCACTAAGACTAGCCTGGGCTAGTCTTTTTGTAGAGACCCCCATCTCTACAAAAGATTATTAAAAATTAGTCATGGCAGCCAGGCACAGTGGCTCACGCCTGTAATCCCAGAACTTTGGGAGGCCGAGGCG